TTTCTTTTCTTTCCTTCCTTCCTTCCTTTCTCTTTCTTTCTTTCTTTCTTTCTTTCTTTCTTTCTTTCTTTCTTTCTTTCTTTCTTTCTTTCTTTCTTTCTTTCTTTCTTTCTTTCTTTCTCTTTCTTTCTTTCTTTCTTTCTTTCTCTCTCCTTCCTTCCTTCCTTCCTTCCTTCCTTCCTCCTTTCCTTTCCTTTCCTTTCCTTTCCTTTCCTTTCCTTTCCTCTCTCTCTCTCTCCCTCCCTCCCTCCTTTCCTCCCTCTCTCTCTCTCTCTCTCTCTCTCTTTCTGTCCACGATGTGAATGACTAGCAGCAAAATAAATGATAAAGTCTTGGTGTTCAGTGAAATCAGATACGAGTAGTCCTCGACTTACAACAGTTCATTTAATGACCATTCAAAGTTATAACAGCACTGAAAAAAATGACTTATGATTGTTTTACACACAACCGTTGCAGCATCATGACCAAAATTCAGATAGTTTTGGCAACTGACTCATATTTACAATGGTTCCAAGTGTTCCAGTGATCCCTTTATGTGACCTGACGGGCAAAGTCAAAGGGAAAACCAGATTCACTTAACTGTCACTAACTTAACTGCAGTGATTCACTTAACAACTGTGGCAGGAAAGGTCATACAGTGGGGCAAAACTCACTTCACAAGTGTTAAAATAAATTTTGGGCTCAAGTGTCGCAAGTCGAAGACTATGTGCATTATACTTCGACCAGATAAGGTGCTTTCAACCAAAGTGGGCCAAATCGGGTATTATGAGTTGAATTGAGCCAAACCAAGTATTGCCCCATCATCAGACTGGACTACCCTCTGTCAGAAATGGTGTAGGGTCTCCTTAGGCGGGGTTGGACTAGATGACCTAACAAGGTCCCTTTGAACTCTTAATATGTATCAGGAAGACTTCGTGCCTCGTTCAGCTCAGGCTGCGGAAGAATCTTGTTTCTGGCGCCCGCCCGCTTTAAAGAACTCCGCATCCTCTGCTTTTCCTCAATCGGGCTAAGAGACAGACGGGCCGGCGGTGGGCGGAGCCTGTCACTGCTTCCCTCGATGGATGGAACCTGCCGGGCGCGCCGCCCCCACCCTTTCCATTTTTCCAGGCCTTTGTCTCGGCGTCAGTCACGTGACGGGAAGCGGAAAACCCGAGGGAAAGCCGTCCACAAAAACAGCCGGAAGAGTCCGGGAGATGCGCGTCCCGTAGTTCCACCCCACCCCGCCTTCCTCCCGTTCCCTGCCCTTCCTTTCGTCTGGAGCCTGACCCGGATCTTTTCCTTTTTAAGGTGGTCTGCCAGTCTCTCCACCCCCCTCCACTCCCCTCCTCTCCCCCCAAAGCAGCCCTCGGAGCTCTGGGATGAGCGGCCGGACTTCCTCCCGGCTGATCTTC